TCAGCTTTGCACTTCGTTTTCCTGTTTGGTGCCGTGCCAGCTGACTGGTCCCCCCGGCACAGGAAGAAGATCCGTGCAGACAGAATTCCCCTCCCCCTCCTCCCGAAGAGCTGGGCCTGGGGACTGCAGCCCGTGGCGCACCGGGCATCTTGTGTGCCGGGAAGAGTCCTGGCCAAGGGACCCTGGGGTTCCAGAACTCGGCCTCCTGCCTCAGACGTCACCCCTAAGACCCTCTGCCGCCCCCTCCCGACCCACTGCCACTGGCCCTGGGCCCAGACCCTCTCGCCCTCCCGTCTACACAGCCCCAGGAGCCGGGGCACAGGCCACAGCAGGACGCAGCCTCCTCCGAGGGGCTGGAGGGAGGAGCTGCGGAGCGTGGCACCTTCCAGGTGAAGCAGGAGCTCAGGGGACAGGGAGCCTGCAGCTGAGGGATGCAGTCAGAGGGAGGCCGGTTTCCTCGGGACGGAGGCCCGTCGCTGGTTGGGTGACTTACCTGGGGACATCCAGGTGCAGGCCCTGAGCCGTTTACAAACGCAGACGCACTCGATCCTAAACGCCGCCCCAGGAACGTGCTGTGTTCCCTCGCAGACTCGGACCCGGGGCCTCACTGACCGGCTCCTGCAAGCCCTCGGCAGGTCCTGAGGGAGTGGGCCCTCTGGGGCGCGGGGACCTGCAGGCAGCCCCGGCCCTGCTCCGCCTGCTCGGGGGGGGGGGGACCTCAGGGAGGCGGGGGCGACTCTCTCCAGACCCCGGGAGCAGAGAACGCCTTTCGCAGAGACGCCAAACTCATGTTTTCATCGGTCAGAGCAAACCAGTGACGGGAAGGGTCCCCAAAAACAGTCTGGACAGAGTAAAAGAAATTTTGTATGGGGTCCCCTGGCCCATTGCACCAGGCTGTTTCTGGGACTGGGATCAACGGTGGGGGCCCCTGGGTGCCTCAGCCCCTCCTGGGCCCGGTGCTGCCTCTGGGGGGCCTGGCGCCCTCCTATTCTGTTGTGGGGCCTGCTGACTGTGGGGGTGCCCTCGCAGGACCCCCCGGCAGTACCACCAACAACATCACACTCAAAACTGTGTCTGGGCTGAGACCAAGCAGGTCACACGGGTCTGGCACTACCGGCCCCCTGAGAGCGCTCAGGACGAGTTCTCTTTGGTGATGCGTTGCAGCTTTAGGGGAAGGGGCTGCCCTGGCCTCTTCCGTTTCACCCCCCATCCACCACCTACATCTCAGGCCCCCCTTTGTCCAGGGCTCCCTGCAGCTGCTGTCCCGCGGGTGTCACCCTGCTCAAGTCGCCCTCCGGAGCTAGGCGGGTCCCTGCAGTCCTGTCCCGGGCGTGGCGCTCAGTCCGGCTCGCATCCCCGGGGCATTGTGGGAAACTCCTGTTCTTACCCAGCATGAGCTCGGAGCCAGGTCTGGCTTCTCTCCCCTTTTCTGGCAAATTCACTGCCTTTGTGGAAAGCACCCTACCCCTTTGTTTCTCCTGCGATCCTGGGGTCACCTGTCAATCCACTCTTCTCTGGAGGCCACACGTAAACAGGAGTCCCGGTGCCCCAGCGGGACGCACCACAGACCCTCAGGGCCCTGGGAGTCGCTCTCTCCTCCAGAACCTCCTGGGCCGCAGTTCCGGGTGTGACATAAAGCCAGACGGCACGGAGTCCTGGAGGAACAGGCGCTGACCAGTCATTGTGAGTCACAGACCCTGCAAACTCCGGTGTGTCTGCGTCCTGGCCTCCCTCCGGCCGGCACCCTGCTGTTCCTGCTTTGGGCAAAACCAAAACAAGCCAAGGACAGCGGAGGGCACCTGTCCATTCTCAAGGAGGTTCTGGAAACTGCAGGGCAGAGCCCGCTGGCCCTTCGCATTGCCCGGACAGCCCGCCCTACTCGGCTCAACGTGGAGGGACCCGGCGCAGAGGTGAGGCACCACACAGAGACGGGACCAACACGTGCTGTGAAAAACATTCTTTATTCGCTTGTCCTAAAAAATGGGAAGGTGAAGCCGCAGCCCAGGGAGACTGTGGAGGTCAGAAAAGCCATCCTCGCTAGAGAAGGGTCTGCTGCCCAGTGTCCGGCTGACAGCCGCCGGCAAGGATCAGACACTAGCACCCGCTGCCTGACACTGTCCAGCACCAGCCTGCTCCGGGGAACACCTGCCCTGACCGCCCGCACCCCTCTCCACCGCCGGGGGCCTGCGCCCAGGTACAGAGTCCGGGCACCGCTGGGCGCCAAGCTCGGGGCTCGTGTTCCTTCCTTCCTTCTGCACTCGGGTTCCGGAGCCCGTGGGGCCGGGTCTGAGCACTGCCCTGTGCATTCTGATGTCACACTGAAGAGCTCAGGGGCCGGCCACGGGACGAGGGCGCTCCTCCCCAGCGTGAAGGCCACCAGGGCCCGGACCAGGAGCAGGAAGACCCGGGCGGAGATGGCAGCGCGGTGGTGCTCCCGGGGCGCTGGCCTGCTCCTCCCCGCCAGCCGCCGCAGGTCAGGAAGGAGAGGGTGTCCGGATCAGGGCGAGAGGAGACAGTCACGGGTGGTCCCAGGGCGGGGCGATGTCCTCAGAACTGGTTGTCTGGTGGAGGGAAAAAGGAATGAGAGGGAGGAGTGCGAAAGGGGAAACCGAGGCCAGCAGGGGGTGCCCTGCATCTTGTCATCCGTGGGAGCCGGGGAAGGTTTCGAGCAGGACGTCAGGCGGGGCTTTGGGAGATCAAACCCGGCTGGAGGCTCCGGCGGATGGGAGGGGAGAGTCGGAGCATTTAGACCAACTGGGAAGTGGGCACAGGAGTCCCCAAGGGGTGGCCAGGCCCCAGCTGCTGCGGCGCCCGTGGAGGTGGAGAGGGGAGAGGCGTGAGCACCGTCCCGCCGGCCCCTGCACCGTGGCCCCGCCCTGCCCTCTGCACGGCTCCGACGGCCCGGCCCTCCGGGGCTCTGTGCGCTGACCTCTCTGCGGATCGTGCACTTTCAGGGCGCGGGGTTTTACCGTTGCTATTTTTAGTTATTTGTCTCCTGGCACATCGTAGGCCTTCAACGGGAGGCATGAAATGAGTGAGTAACAAAAGAGCCGAGAATCAGGCCGACTTGGGGACGGCCTGAATATGGACACGCGAGAGCCGTCCAAGGTGCTCCGTGGAGTGGAGTCCTGTGCCCGGGGGGATGGCGTGTGACGGTCACTGTGACCCCACCTGCCCCTGTCACCAGAGCCACCACATCAGATGGCCCGACCCGGCCTGGCCTGGCCCAGAAATCCGGGAGTCACCTGCAGACACTGCCTCGTCCGCACCCCCCACGAAAGCACAGCGGGGAACACGGTCCCCGATCTGGATGAATTAAAGGAAACGGCTGGTCCGGTGCCGCCCCAGCGAGTGGTCAGAGTGGCTCAGCCCTGCCTGCACCCCGATTTCATCTCCCCTGGGTGCATTTGTGGTCATTGCCGCTGTGAGTACAATGCCATCGTTAACGTTGTTAATATCGGCGACAGGAAGGACACTAACAGAAGCCACCGTTCATCGCCCAGTGGCTGGGACCTGGCAGAGGCCAAGTGGCTTTAACTCCCATTATTTTGCGTGACTCTTGCCAGCCTAGGAGGTAAGTATGAACAGACGCAGAGGGGGCGGCTCGGGGCGTGGGAACCGGACGTTAGAGGTAGCAGGTGTGTGTGCGTCCCAGGTCAGAACTCTCTTGACCAAACCCCAGGTGGGGTCCCTCGGAGGCCGGGGCTCTTGGAAGCAGGCGGACGAGGTCTGGTGGAACCCTATCACCTGCGCGGCACGGCCGCCTGGCGCACAGAGGACGCCCAGTTCAAGGTGGAGCATGGCACCCCACAAACCTCCCGCCTCCCCCGGGTCACGGGCCCGGGCCCCTGCGGGCGGTGGGGTGCAAGGGCGGCCACCTACCCAGGCTCCTCCTCTTCTGGGCGTGCGGGGCCTGCAGCTGGACGGGGCCCAGGACCACGTCCACCTTGTCCTGGTAGGAGCCCACGTCCCTGCGGGACCTCATGGTGCAGCCTCTGCGGCAGCGGGAGGCGGAGTCCTGGGCCCTGCACACGACCATCTTGCAGTGCAGGTACACGGACGGGAAGCGGTTCAGGAAGTGGAAGGAGCTGAATTTGAAGCGGACGACGTGGGGTGACGGCTGCTGGAAGGGCCGGTAGGTTTCGTCCTTCACACACCTGCAAGAAGAGGAGAGTCCCCGTCTGCGCTCAGGCCCTGGGTGCGCCAGGCGTGGGCTCTGCAGCTCCTCGGCCCGGCCTGCTGCCGCCCTCCCCCGCCTTCAGAACCTGGCGCCCACACCGCCTGTCGGCGCTGCCCAGTCCTGGGAGCCGGGTCCCTGGCAGCACCTGGGAGCAGCAGGTCAGCCCAGGGTCTCCGCACTGACCAGCTGCCCCGCACACACAGCGGCCACCTGCTCAGTGGCCCCAGGTTACCCAGGTGAGTCAGGGAGGAGCAGGGCCCAGAGGGAGGACGGGAAGAAAGATGGCATTTCCTTCCCTTTCCGGGGCTCAGGGCCCGAAAGGCGACACTTGGCGACTCTCCGGTGTCTTTGCCGCCTTCCCCCCAGGGCTGTGTCCCCACATCAGCCTACTCCGAGGACCCTCCAGTGTTTGAAGCTCAAGGTTATTCTAACGGCATCCAGGTGGGTGATTGGGTTGGTGGCCAGGTGTCGTCAACGAGCCCCTGTGCTCCGGGTACAGTTGGGACACTGGTACCCCACGTGCACCCCTCTCTCCCCAGAAAACTGCTTTATTTTACATACATGCATGTGCAGGAGTCCCCCAGAGGGTCCTGTGACCGAGAGCCAAGCGCTCAACCACAACCTCTCAGTCACCTGACAGAAACACAAACGGCCTCTTGTCACGGCCCAGGAGAGGGGTCCGGGTAAGCTGCCCCACTTTGGCTGCCACGGAGGCTGCCGCGACTCGAACCGCCTGCGTGGACCGAACAAGACGAGCCCAAGCCCGGCTGAGAACCCGCGCCTGGAGAGGGGCTGTGCTCTGCCCGCGGGAGGTGTGAACTTGGTAGGTGACGGTGTCGCTGTCCACCTGGGAGAGGCAGGCAGGACAGGGCCAGCCAGATTCCCAGCAGGTCACCTCACCCTGTCAGTGCAACTTTCGCGCGAGGCCCTGGTCACTGGGGTCCCAAGGCCAGGACGTAAGCCAAGCAGTCGTGTGAACGCCCGCGGACGGGCCAGGGGTGCCGATTGGACTTGCCCGCCCCAGAGTCCTCGGACCCCTCTGTGAGCTCAGAAGAGGTGAACCCCACCTCCCCAGAGTCCCGTCACCCAGAGAGACAAGACGAAGGCAGAACAGCGCAGCCTGGGCACCCCCGACCTCTGATCGCACAGCTTGGCTGGACCACAGACGCTGAGAACTTCCGTCTCAACGGACGCAGGTCAACTTTCGGGCCTTCTCTGGGACCCTCACGTGGACAACCCGCTGCGCATTTTCTCTGCCCGAGTCCCCGTCAACTCTTTCTCATTCAGCCCTCCCAACAGCCTCTGCCTGGGCATCACCACGCCCCTCAGGCGGGTGACACAGCTGGTCCGCGGCCGAGTTGGCACCCCAGCCGCAGTCTGCTTCAAAACGAACGCTGTCCCATGACACCCGCGTCCTTTCAACACTGGGGTATGCCTGGAGTCTCGTCCCCTGGGGCCGAGCCCACCTGCTTGGTGACCACTGGTGAGCCATCCGGGTGCCAGACACCTGCCTCCCTCTGTCCGGTCAAACTGGAGCCGCCAGGCCCACATTCTGCGCCCCGGAGCCGCTGGGCTCCTCAGGTTTGGCTTATCAGGTAAAGGCCGAAGCCCCCCCACGGAGACGCTCCTTACCCTCTCCGGATGAGGTCATACGTCAGCGATGTGGAGTCGCTGGCGTACGGCGACGCCAGGCAGGTGTCCACAAACAAGGCCAAGGAGGCGTCGGAATGGCGGATCTCAGCCTGAACGTACAAGTCCTGGCCCAGGTGCACGTAGTACGGGCTGCTGGTCACGGGGTAGAAGAAGGACGGCGACGTATAGAAGGACATGTTCACGGCGAAGTTGCCGTACTGCACTTCCTGCACCTGGACGGTGTCGTTGGCGACGTACATGACGTCCACCCAGGAGTCCTGGAGTAGTTTGCAGCTGACGTGAACAAGCAGGTCCTTCCTCCTCTTGATGACGCCGCTTGAGACGGCCGCTTTGAGGACGTTGGAGTAGATGATGGTGTCGTTGTCCACCTGGGAGAGGCGGGCAGGACAGGGGTCACGTTGCTGATTTCGGTCAGAATGAGAAGAAAGTGACTCAGCAAGACTTCAGCCCCCTCTCAGCCCCCACGGAGGTGGCACACGCCTGGTCCCTGACCTGGGCTGGGCCTGCTGCCCACCAGAGGGCCCCTCCCCCCTTCTCTGCCATAGGAGGGGGCCGCAGGGGGCATCGGGGCTGGGGCCTCCTAAGAGCTGTCCTGGTGGGGACATGGGTGGCCTGGACAATCCCTGCCCTGTTTGCAGCAGGACTAAGCTGGGTGTGGACTCCAGAGCTCAGGACCCTTCTGGCCGGTCCTGGTTCATTCTCAGGCTGCGGGAGAGCAGGGAAGGCAGGCGGGCGCTCGTGGGGGCTGCTGGCATCAGTGTGCACTGTGCACGGGGGGGGGGCCGCAGCTGTGCGGCGGGTGTCTGAAGCTGCCGGGCTGGAAGCCAGAGGTCGGAGTCATGGCCGCAGCAGGCCCCAGACAGACAGCCCGGCGGGCACGGCAACGCCCGGCACCGCCCGTCAGTCTCCTGCCCGGCGGGCACGGCAACGCCCGGCACCGCCCGTCAGTCTCCTGCCCGGCGGGCACGGCAACGCCCGGCAACGCCCGGCAGTCTCCTGCCCGGCGGGCACGGCAACGCCCGGCAACGCCCGGCAGTCTCCTGCCCGGCGGGCACGGCAACGCCCGGCAACGCCCGGCAGTCTCCTGCCCGGCGGGCACGGCAACGCCCGGCAACGCCCGGCAGTCTCCTGTCCGGTGGGCACGGCAACGCCCGGCACCGCCCGTCAGTCTCCTGTCCGGCGGGCACGGCAACGCCCGGCACTGCCCGGCACTGACCGGCAGTCTCCTGCGTCTCCACTCCCGCAGCCTCAGTCCCTCGGCAGCAGGCCCCTAGGCCTGTGGGTCTCTGACATCGCTGACGGGCCTGCCATCCTGTAAGAGGGACTTTTCTGGGGGTGAGCACCTCGCGTCTCCGGCAAAGGATGCTCTGTCTTCCCGGGGCTGCTGCGCTGGCGACGGGCGTGCAGCCAGGCAGAAGCCGTGGCGGAGGGGGGCTGAGAACAGCTGCCCGAGTGCCCAGGAGGACAAGGGTGGACGGGGCCCGGGAAGCCCCACAGGCCGCCGTCTGGCCCCAGGGGAGGGCGCACCAGCGGGTCCGGCCAGGTGGCGACGGGAGCTCCTCCCTCCCCAGCTCCCAGCCAGGCACGAGCTCCCGCAGGCCGCGGTGCTTTGCCAGAAAGAAGGCGGAAAGGACACGCCGTGCCTCAGTGGAAATCCGGAAACGTGCGGCCGCGTGACGCTCCGTACAAGGAGCGAGGACGTTCACATTCTCAGTGCGCTGCCGCCCTGTCCTCACCCCAACCCCGAAGCGCATGCTCTCAGACCCCCCGGAACCTGGAGCTCTCCCGCCTGGACCGACTGCGCTGGAAAGACCTACCCACCCCCCTTCCTGCCATTTGGAGGTGGCAAGGAGCAGATGGGTATCGTCACCCCGATTACATGCTGGGTACAGACACCGTCGCGTCCGCTGGGCCCCCCAGTTCGAGGCGCACGGCGCGCATCACCGCAGGAAAGCGCTCGGCAGGAGACGCGGGGCCGGCTCACCTGCTGGGTGGTGCCGCAGCCTGAGTAGGGGATCGCGAAGGTCACCCGGCTGGACGTGATCCGGGGCTGGCACTGGGAGACGCTGTTCCAGTTGGGGATGACCAGGTCCCAGGCAGAGTAGCCCAGAGACTGCAGGTAGCCCCTGCTCACGCTGGCTTGCATCTGGTTCGGCAGGCAGAGCAGCTCTGTGGCCGAGGGCAGACGGGGTCAGTCAGCGCCCCGAGCCCAGCCAGTCCCACTCAAACCTCCGCCCCTCCGCAGGTGCAGGGACCACGGTGGCAACGAGGCTCGCCACCCCCCGAGGTGCCCACGGGCAGAGATGAAGGAATGGAGGCAGGATGTGGAATGTTCGCCCAGGTCCCGCCCCCCAGAAAGCAGAGCCGCGCTCGGGCCGAACTGTGGGGATAGAACAGGTTGGTTCGCTATGGGGCGGCTCCAAGCTGAACATCTGGACCGAAACGAGAGCTTGGGCATCACCTGGCCCCGTCCCTGGCCAGTCTGTAAATCAGTCCAGTAACAGCTCGAATCACGGCTGCCAGTCTCACTGGGACACGGCAGAGTGACCAGTGGTTTTCAGATGGCAGGCAAACGTGCCCGGTCTCAGGACACGGTTAGTGTCCCACACTCTGGAGCGGTCACGAGGCCTCAAGCCAGGGGTCATTCCTGCCCTTCCACTGACATCTCCCCGGAGGCCGGAAGCACCGTCTCACACCTTCTGCTCCGTCTCTGCTGGCCGCAGGGAGGCCAGGACGCTGCCCATCAACCGGCTCTGGCCCTCGGCCTCGTTTGTGGGCAGCCAGGGTCCCCGACCCACTGCCGTGGTCCCTTTCCGCACACCAAGCCTCAGTGACCGGCCAGGGCTACTCTCGTCTCCTGTCCGACCACCACAGGACAGCTGAGGAGCAGAGGGGTCTCAGAGGTGCCCCCCGAGCCTGGGACTTACGGGTGCTGTCATTGGACGGACTGGAGTAGTAGTTGGCCTGGAACCCTTTCCTGGTGACGCTGCCGTCACTGACAAAGCGAACGGACAGGAAGTTGGACGACGAAGTGAGGGAGTCCCTGGCCCCCTGACAGAGCCGGGCGATGAGGGGGGAGCTGTGGTAGGGGCCGTCGAACACTTCGATGTAATCATAGTTGCAGTTGCTCTCGAGCCTGCGGAGACAGGACAGCAGTCTGGCTTCCCTCCCAGCCGGGATCTGAGACAGAAGGCCACACCTCCAGGCCAGGTGTGGGGGCCACACCTCCAGGCCAGGTGTGGGGGTCACACCTCCAGGCCAGGTGTGGGGTTCACACCTCTAGGCCAGGAACTGATAACATTTATCATAGAAAATGATCAACTCTCTTAAATCAAGCAGAGAGCCCGGCGAGTGTGGCTCAGTGGTTGAGCATCGACCATGCACCCAGGTCACCGGTTCGATTCCCGGTCAGGGCACATGCCCAGGTTGTGGGCCCGATCCCCAGTTTGGGGCGTGCAGGCGGCGGCCAATCGATGTTCTCTCTCATCCATGTTTCTATCTCTCTCTCCCTCTCCCTTCCTGTCTAAAATCAATAAAGAAAAAATAAAAAGAATGTATTAACATTTTTAAAAAATCAAGCAGAGATTCCTCTTCCCGTGGCCTCTATACACGGGGCTCAGTCCTGCCTCTCGGGGTCACCTGCAGCCCCTCCCTGAGAGCCTGCGCACCGTGTAGGAAAGGGTCCCATCCTGCTTAGACTTTGTCTTCAACCAAAACGGACCTGGCTTCCCCGAAAGAAAAGAAACACCCACAAATTCATCATGATAGAAATAAATCACTGAAGCCCTGGCCAGTTTGGCTCAGCGGTTAGAGCGTCGGCCTGCGGTCCGGAGAGACCCGGGTTCGGTTCCCGCTAAGGGCACGTACTTCGGTTGCAGTTTGTCCCCGGCCCTGGTTGGTCGTGCGGGTGGCAGCCACTCGATGTGTCCCTTCACGTTGAAGTTTCTCTCTCTCTCTCTCTCTCTTCCTCTCTCTCCCTCCCATTATATCTGTACAAAAAATGGAAAATGGAAAAATATCTATCCTCGGGTGAGGATAAAAAAAAAAAAGAAAGAAATCACTGAAAAGATCAATATTGGCCACGTCGAATCCCCTCTTTGAAGCTCAGGTTCTTACGAACAACGGCGAAGTAATCCTGGGCACACATGGCGGCCATGCGGCCAGCGTGGACCAACCATGGGGGTCGCCAGCGCGTGGCCTCCGTCCCGCAGGGGCTGCCAGAGAGCCCGTCGTGGGCAACCTGCTCCCACAGGCCTCACGAGCTGAGTCCCCGAAATCCAACGTGAGTTGTCATGACGAGCAGATCAAGATCATACTATATCTTTTGCAAAACCCCAAATAAATGTCCAAGGGAGAGACCCCCAAGGTCACCAAACATCAGAAATCCCGAGAGGAAGCTGCTTCACTCGGTGGTGGCTGCTGGGGGGAGTCGTGACTCCTCCTTTCCAGGACTCGAGCACCGGCGTGGTGTCCGTGAGGCCTGTGCATTCCCTCTGCCCCCCAGAGTCCCCCGCGGAGAACACTTCCCACTGGTTCACCTGTTTCTCTCGAGACATTCCCGGTAACCAGTGGGGGTGGGGGGCAGGTATTTTAGTCCTTTTTTTTATCCTCGCCCGAGGACATTTTTGCATTTATCCTCAGATAGAGCAGGAGGGAGAGAGGAGGGAAGAGAGACAGAGAGAAACAGCGACGTGGGAGAGACACATCGAGTGGCTGCCACTCACACAACCCCAACCGGGGCCGGGGACGAACCCCAACCGAGGTACGTGCCCCTGGCGGGAACCGAACCCAGAACTCTCTGGTCCGTGGGCCGACTCTCTAACCGCTGAGCCAAACCGGCCAGGGCTTAGTCCTCTTTTCTGACTGAGACTCAGGAAAGTTACGTGATTTCCTGTGGTCACACAGCAAGTTCTTGGCCAAACTGAGACGTTAATGGAGGCTGCTGCCCCGGCCCCACCTCCCCGGGGGCCTCTGTGCGAGGTCGGAGCACCCCCCGAAGCAGGGCCCGAGCGCCCTCCGAGTGTCCGCGAGGCCCCCACTCACTGCACGTCTCGGAAGACCACGGTCACGCGGTCGTTGTTCCGGACTTCGATGTCCCACACGCAGTTGGCGTTGTTCGGGTAGTTCCCGGGGTAGAAGGGGCTGGTGAAGCTCCCTGATGGCTGAGACAAGAAGCCTCCACAGGTGTAGTTTGCTGCGGGGACACATGGAAATGTGGTGACCCCAGGGCACACAGCACGGCACCTGGGGAGAACGTGACAGTCCCCAAGACAGAGGCCAACAGGAGGGCCGAGGCCCGGCCGTGCACCAGGCTCGGTGGGATGCCCTCCAGGCGCTGTGCACAGAGAAGCCACCTCCTCCGCGGCGCGTCACCCCGCCCCAGTGGCACGGTTGCCGAGGGGAGGGGAGGAGGGTTTGCCAGGGAGCTCAGAACTTACCGGCTGGGCTGGTGACGATGTGGGCAGGAGCTGTCGACAGAGAAAAGGTAGTGATCAGTTTCCTGGCATCCTTGACACCATCACTGAGCCCTTCCGGTGCTCTGTGCCAGCAAAGTGCCAATCCTGGGGTCACCACAGGATGCTGGGGCCAGGCCAGGCCCTCAGGGAGCTCGGCCCCAGGTGGGAGCCGAGGAACAGACCCTGACGGTGGGCTGAGCGGAACCCAAAGCTCTGAGTGCACCTCAGCCTGAGACTGAGTCTGCTTTTCACGTGCGCCGAGCTTCAGGAGCGCCCCCACCCGGACGGAGGGAGACCCCCCACCGTCCCCTTGCAGGGCATCTTCCCCTTCGAGCCCCGCCCCCACGCTACAGAACGTCCCCCACCCTGGACGGAGGGAGACCCCCCACCGTCCCCTTGCAGGGCATCTTCCCCTTCGAGCCCCGCCCCCACGCTGCAGACCGTCCCCCACCCTGGACGGAGGGAGACCCCCCCACCGTCCCCTTGCAGGGCATCTTCCCCTTCGAGCCCCGCCCCCACGCTGCAGAACGTCCCCCACCCCAGATGGAGGGAGACCCCGCCACCGTCCCCTTGCAGGGCATCTTCCCCTTCGAGCCCCGCCCCCACGCTGCAGACCGTCCCCCACCCGGACGGAGGGAGACCCCCCACCGTCCCCTTGCAGGGCATCTTCCCCTTCGAGCCCCGCCCCCACGCTGCAGAACGTCCCCCACCCCAGATGGAGGGAGACCCGCCACCGTCCCCTTGCAGGCCAACTTCCCCTGTGAGCCCCGCCCCCACACTGCAGAACGTCCCCCACCCCGGAAGAGGGAGACCCCCCCACAGTCCCCTTGCAGGGCATCTTCCCCTTCGAGCCCCGCCCCCACGCTGCAGAACGTCCCCCACCCCAGATGGAGGGAGACCCCCCACCGTCCACTTGCAGACCAACTTCCCCTGTGAGCCCCCCCTACCCCCCTGCTGGAGTCCTAACGGCATTTCTGAGGGACACATACACCCCTGGGAGCTCCCGGAGGAGGGGTCGGTTTCTCTTTTTCACTGTTTGGCGATTTCCCACGCATTCTTGCTGGCGACGTGGCCGTACACACGGCACAGGTCTTAGAATACTTCACATCGTAAGAGTCTGAATTTTTAAGTGCATTCCAGACACCGGCCAGCCCGCGGCCGCGGCCCAGTGCCTCTCTGCGTTCTAAGGAAAGCTGAGGTGTACAGAGATTCCCTTCTAAAGCTAGTCTTCATCTCGGGATCTTTAATGACAATGAAGAAACAGAAATAACCAGAAGAGTCTGGCCGGTGCGGCTCAGTGGTTGAGCGTCGACCCTGCACCAAGAGGTCCTGGTTCGATTCCCGGTCAGGGCACATGCCCAGGTTGTGGGCCTGATCCCCAGTGGGGGGCGTGCAGGAGGCGGCCCGTCGATGTTCTCGCTCATCCATGTTTCTGTCTCTCTCCCTCTCCCTTCCTCTCTCTAAAATCAATAAAGGGAAAATATATATATATATTTTTTTTTATCCTCACCCGAGGACATTTTTCCATTTTTTGTTCAGGTAGAGTGGAAGGGAGAGAGAGGAACAGAGAGAGAGAAACATCGACGTGAAGGGACACATCGAGTGCCTGCCACCCGCACAACCAACCAGGGCCGGGGACAAACTGCAACCGAGGTATGTGCCCTTAGCGGGAACCGAACCCGGGTCTCTCAGGACCACAGGCCGACGCTCTAACCGCTGAGCCAAACCGGCCAGGGCGGGAAAAAATATTTTTTTAAAGAACACAAAGAAAGAGCCCAGAGAGCCAGCGTCTGGGGACCAGTGGACTGATGCGGGCGTGGCTGCGGCGGGGCAGACGCTCCAACCCGAACAGCGTCTCTCCAGCCCAACACGGCTGCTGAGCTGTGTCCCTGCGTCGGGTGTCAGGTAATTTACAAGTGAAAGCATGATTATCGGTGAAAGTATCCACTTGTTATCTCCCTCCTTCCTCCCAGGACTCTGGAGACCCTCCAAGAAATAAAAGCCTTTGAGTCTATTCTGTGAAGAATCCAGTATCTGGTCGACTTAGAGGAGGAGATGTCCTCAGCTACCAGTCCGCAGGGCGGAGGGGGCCGTGTGGACGCAGGCGGGGAGGTGCGGTGGCCGGCGGGGAGGTGGCCTATGCGGGCTGGGAGAGGCTGTGCACGTGGGCTTCTGTCCCAGGGACAGCTCAGCCTGGGGATAAGAAACCAGGGCCCTGTGCATGGGGGACCCGAGACTTACCAGAAGTGATGTTAGGTGTCGGGTACCACGAACCTAGAAAGAAAATGCAATGACGTTAGGATGTTACTGAAAAATTTTAATTCCGTGGTCCATAGTTTGATAGAAGTTAAACTCTTCTCCTTACTGCAGGCCTTCTCAGGGCCTTGGCCATTCCCGTTTACACCGAGTGGCCAAAAGAGCCACGTGACAGGGCGTCACAACATGTCTGGCACCAAATATGTTCATCATGACGCAAGGGACACGTTGGGGGTGCCGCTGTCAGCGAGAAGGGATTCGTGAACATGATCATTCATACGGGTTTTACTCGCCCGTGTTTCAAAAGGGACTCGATGCTCCGTGGGTTGACGTGGACTGGGACTTGCATCTGGAATGACCAGACCCTGAGGGCTCGCGCCACGACCTCTCGCAGAGAGCACTGGCTGCCGGCTCTGCAGACTGAGCTCCGTGACAAGGTCCGGGGTCGCCGCTCCCCCGGAAGGAGTCCTCACAGAGAAGTCATGGCCCACAGGGGCCGGCTATTACCCCCTGCCTCTGCAACCACGGGGAACTCCGCACGAACTCCTGGGCTGTGGGGACTCACCTGGGGTCGTCCAGTTGGCTTGTGAGGCTGCAACAAAGAGTAGGAAGGGTCAGCCGGGCGACACGTGTGGGAACAGGCCGCTCAGCGTCCTGAGAGGGGCGGGGGCCCGTGCCGGAGAGCTGAGGGTACACGAAACACTCAGGGGTCTGTGCCCCTAAGAACTTTGTTGGGACGACTTCTTAGAACCTTGGACCACTTTGCCTCCGGACTGCTCGGGGCCCACCTCGGGGAGATGCGGTGCCCACTACAGGAATTCGGGGACAACGACTGACCTTCCAGATGCTGTCAGGGAAACTGCCCGTCTCCCAGGGAGCTCAGGTAGACACCAGCACAAAGAGGAGCCCTCAGGTCCCAAAGGGGCCACTATACACAGGACAAAAGTCCACAGGGCCCACCTGAGCAGATGACGCTGGCGTCCTCGCCGTGGCCACAGTTGTGCACGTTCCAGCCGTTGTGCGGGCAGTGCCACAGGAAGGACTCGTGGCCCGAGCAGCCCACGTCGTCCAGGAGAATCGGCCCTGAGCCCTGGCCGAAGCGGGCGCTTCCTGGAGCCGCCCTGGCCCAGCCACAGCCCAGCTGCCTGCACACCACGTTGGCGTCGTTGGTGTCCCAGCTGTCGTCACACACGGTGCCCCAGGAGCCTCGGTACAGGACTTCCACCCGGCCCTGACACCGGTCCCCTCCGTTCACCAGCCGCAGGTCCAACCTCGATTCAGTGGTGAACCCTGGAGGACGGCAGGACACAGGCAGGTTCTAGACTCAAGACCTTTCTCTTGGCCGAACCCAGGGCAGGCGATCAGCTGTGAACATGAGGATGGAGACTGACATTTACCTGTTGTTGTGGGATGTGCAGTGGTGGTCGAAGGCAGCCAAGAGCCTGGAGGAGACACGTCAAGGCCTTGCTTAGGCGTCACCTGAGAGTCCTCCACCTCCTCTGTCAGCCTCCCTGACAGGGCCACACGCCCCTCCCGGCACCTGCCCCTGAGGTGCACAGGTCTCCTCCTCCGCGAGGCCATCGGGGGGGGAGGCCATGAGGGCTCAGCCTGTCGCCCACCGTTCCCACTCGGCAGGTCTGCTCCAGCAGAGATCTTGTACCCCTGCCGCCCTAGAACCAAGGGCTCCCGGCTGGGTTTGAGCTCTGCCCCTGACTCTGCATCTGCACAGAAGGCCTCTGGAGGTCGTGATTAAACTACCCGGGCACCACAGGACCCAGGTCACCAGCCAACCACGTCCCCCTGACACCTGATCTCAGGACCCTGGTCTGCCCACTGCCCACAGGTCCCAGCGATGGAGGCGTATCTGGGGACTCGCCTTGCGGGTCCCTCTTTCCCGGATTCAGAAGCAGACAGAGGGCCCGGGAGGATGGAGACTGACATTTACCTGTTGTACTGGGACCTGCAGTGGTGGTCGGAGTCAGCCATGTGCCTGGAGGAGACACGTCAAGGCCTTGCTTAGGCGTCACCTGAGAGTCCTCCACCTCCTCTGTCAGCCTCCCTGACAGGGCCACACGCCCCTCCCGGCACCTGCCCCTGAGGTGCACAGGTCTCCTGCTCGGCGAGGCCATCGGGGGGGAGACCGGGAGGGCTCAGCCTGTCGCCCACCGTTCCCACTCGGCAGGTCTGCTCCAGCAGAGACCTTGACCACCTGCCACCAGGAGCCCTGTGCTGACTGGGGTTTGAGCTCTGTCCCTGACTCTGAACTGGACAGAAGGCCCCCGGGGGGTTGTGATTAACTTGATCAATTCCAGGTCCCGGTTCCCAAGAAGCAGTATCACGGGAGACTAGCAACCTCCAGGTAGGGGAGCTGAGGACTCACCTGGCCAGGATGTGTAATGCGTCACCGCAGCTGTGAGGGAGGAAAACACAGTCATTCACAAAGCACCCAACCTCCAAAACGAAGTCCCAGGTGGAGGATCTCCGCAGACACACAGTCCCCGGGATGTCACGGCCCATCATGCCCGAACCTCAGAGCCCCTCACACCACCACCCCTGCCCCTGGACACGGCCAGCCTCGCTGAGTCCGAGGACTCATTCCTGGTGTAAGAAGCCATGTCCGGCCTGGGACCAGCCCCCACAGCTGGGTGATGGGTCCAGAGAATGAGCAGAGCATGGACCTCCCCACGGGGCTGAAGGTCACACCAGTGTTTCTCCCTCAGGGGCTAGGATGTTAGACTTTATCCCAATTTCTAGACGTCCCCGTGTCCTCATGATGCCCCATATGACACCTTCCTGGCCCCTTCCATTCACTGGGTCCTGCCTCCTCTCCCCATTCTCTCCACACGCCCAAGAGGCTGATCATCATCCCAGACAGAGGCGCAGGGACGTTCTGTCCTGCCTGCTGCAAGGATCTCCAGGGAGGGGAAGCCCCCAGAGTGCCGGTGGAGGGGAGCGGAGACACCCGCATCCTCACGGGGACACCCAGGGTGCAGCTCCATGGCTCCACGGTCAGGCCAAGACCCTCCCTTTTGGCAAAGTATCGGCTTCTGCGTGGCCCTGGCCGACCTCAGGCACAGTCTCAGAGGTGACAAGGCCTCGCCTGAAGCAGGGAACAGGCACGATCACCCCTCTTCCAGGGACAGCACCTCGAGCTCCAGGATCCCCCGGCTCAATGGGGGAAGATGCGGACCTGGAGCAAATGTCTCCTGGTGGGCTTTCAGCTTTGTCCCTGACTCTGATCAGGACAGAAGGACTCCGGGGGGTTGTGATTAAGCTGCTCGGGCACCACTGGACCCAGGTCACCAGCCTTCCATGTCCCCCTGACACCTGGTCTCAGGACCCTGGTCTGCCCACAGCCCACAGGGACACGGAGATGCAGGCACATTCGGGAACTCCTCATGGGGGTCCCTCCAGGCTTGAAGCAGACAGAGGACCCAGGAGGACGGAGACTGACATTTACCTGTTGTACTGGGACCTGCAGTGGTGGTCGGAGTCAGCCATGAGCCTGGAGGAGACACGTCAAGGCCTTGCTTAGGCGTCACCTGGGAGTCCTCCACCTCCTCTGTCAGCCTCCCAGACAGGGCCACACGCCCCTCCCGGCACCTGCCCCTGAGGTGCACAGGTCTCCTGCTCGGCGAGGCCATCGGGGGGGAGGCCGTAGGGCTCAGCCTGTCGCCCACCGTTCCCACTCGGCAGGTCTGCTCCAGCAGAGACCTTGACCCCTGCCACCCTAGAACCAAGGGCTCCCGGCTGGGTTTGAGCTCTGCCCCTGACTCTGCATCTGCTCAGAAGGCCTCTGGAGGTCGTGATTATACTACCCGGGCACCACTGGACCCAGGTCACCAGCCAACCACGTCCCCCTGACACCTGCTCTCAGGACTCTGGTCTGACCACAGCACACAGGTCCCAGCGATGGAGGCGTATCTGGGGACTCGCCTTGCGGGTCCCTCTTTCCTGGATTCAGAAGCAGACAGAGGGCCCAGGAGGATGGAGACTGACATTTACCTGTTGTACTGGGACCTGCAGTGGTGGTCGGAGTCTGCCATGTGCCTGGAGAGACACGTCAAGGCCTTGCTTAGGCGTCACCTGAGGAGTCCTCCACCTCCTCTGTCAGCCTCCCTGACAGGGCCACACGCCCCTCCCGGCACCTGCCCCTGAGGTGCACAGGTCTCCTGCTCGGCGAGGCCATCGGGGGGGAGGCCGTGAGGGCTCAGCCTGTCGCCCACCGTTCCCACTCGGCAGGTCTGCTCCATGAGAGACCTTGACCCCTGCCGCCCTAGAACCAAGGGCTCCCGGCTGGGTTTGAGTTCTGCCCCTGACTCTGCATCTGCACAGAAGTCCCCCGGGGGTGGGTGAGAGATAACAGAACTGGAGCCAATCACAGGTCCTGCTACCCAGAGGACCACATTCACACGGGACTCGGCCTCCCGTGAACATGCCTCTCCCGCTGCGGGAGGCCGACGTTCCGAGTGCATCCCGGGGTGTGGCCAGGGCTGTCAGCTGGAGGGAAGCCACAAGTCTGATGTCCCATCCCCAGAAAGCCCCTGGGGACAGTATTCATTATTCCCCAAAACGTTCCGGCCTGAATCTAACAGGTCCTATTCACGGGCGCAGAGGCTGCCTGTCCGTCCAGGGCAGCTCCATCTGGGGCCGACCAGCCTGTGCTGCTGAGAACTGAGATGGACGATGGACACACGGGGGCTTGTGAATCCCCCCTCCAGGGGTGAAGGACTACTGGCTGTTCTCAGTGACAGAGGCAAAACTCCTGTGCCCCTTGGGGTTCAGAGAACAGTGGGTCATTTAGAGTGGGGGAGGGGCAGGGCTGACCAGGGAGAGAAGGGATCTCCAGGTCACGAGCTGGGGACTCACCTGGCCAGGCTGTGGAATGCGGGACAGCAGCTGTGAGGAAGGAAAGTACAGTCAGTCACAAAGCACCCGGCTTCCAGAGCCAGGTCCCAGGTGGAGGACCCCCGGCTGACACACAGTCTCCGGTGGACACGACCGGTCATGCCTGAACCTCACAGTCCCTCACACCAACACCCCTGTCCCTGGCCAGCGCCAGCTCGCAGAGTCTGAGGTCTCATTCCTGTGTAGGAAGCCAGTGTCCGGCCTGGGAGTGGCCACCACAGCTGGGTGATGGGTCCAGACAATGGGTCTCCCCACGGGGCTGATGACCACACCAGTGTTTCTCCCTCAGGGGCTAGGATGTCACATGTATCCCAATGTCTAATGTTCCCCATGTGCTCATGGTGCCCCATCTGACATCCTCCTGGCTCCTCCCATTCACGTGGCCCGGACCCCTCACCCCACCCTCTTCCCCCCACACTTTCTGTACTTGGTCCATGAACTAGCTCCGGGTCCTGGGTTCGGGGCAGCATCTGGGAGAGCCTAGGTAACACCATCTTCCAGAGGGGAGGTCTCACCACCCCACAACCCACCCAGGAGGCTGCCTGCAGGGACTGGGCACAGGTCAGGCTCCTGCTCTGTCCTCGGGGAGCCGGCTCCTGAGTGGGAATCAGGGCTACAGGCACGGTCAGGCCCAGGGCAGGCGATACCTGCAGGCTGCCGGGGACACGCACGAAGCAGGAGGCTGTTTCAGCCTGAGTCCCTGCCACAGGGTTTGGGGCCTCGCGTCCCCGCAGTCCCTCCACGGCCTTCAGTACATTCAGGTCAGACAGGGGCGTTCAGGGCGCTGTGTGGGTTCTCAGCACCACCACCCAGGAGAGGGAGCCACCCAGGCCGGCCCACCTGAGCAGATGACGCCGGCGTCCTCGCCGTGGCCACAGTTGTGCTTGTTCCAGCCGTTGTGCGGGCAGTGCCACAGGAAGGACTCGTGGCCCGAGCAGCCCACGTCATCCAGGAGAATCGGCCCTGAGCCCTGGCCGAAGCGGGCGCTTCCTGGAGCCGCCCTGGCCCAGCCGCAGCCCAGCTGCCTGCACACCACGTTGGCGTCGTTGTTGTCCCAGCTGTCGTCACACACGGTGCCCCAGGAGCCTCGGTACAGGACTTCCACCCGGCCCTGACACCGGTCCCCTCCGTTCACCAGCCGCAGGTCCAAACTCGATTCGGTGGTGAACCCTGGAGGACGGCAGGACACAGGCACGTTCTAGACTCAAGACCTTTCACTTGGCCGAGCCCAGGGCAGGCGGTCAGCGGTGAACATGCCCACAGGCTGATCATCATCCCAGAGAGAGGAGCAGAGACCTCTCCTGCCTGCTGCAAGGATCTCCAGGGAGGGGAAGCCCCCAGAGTGCCGGTGGAGGGGAGCGGAGACACCCGCATCCTCACGGGGACACCAGGGTGCAGCTCCATGGCTCCACGGTCAGGCCAAGACCCTCCCTTTTGGCAAAGTATCGGCCTCTGCGTGGTCCTGGCCGACCTCAGGCACAGCCTCGAAGGTGATGAGACCTCGCGTGAAGCAGGGCACAGGCACCTCTATCCCTCTTCCCTGGACAGAACCGCGAGCTCCAGGATCCCCCGGCTCAGTGGGGAGGATGTGGACGTGGAGCAAATGTCTCCTGGTGGGCTTTCAGCTTTGTCCCTGACTCTGATTCTGCACAGAAAGACTCCTGGGAGTTGTGATTAAGCTGCTCGGAACCACTGGACCCAGGTCACCAGCCTTCCATGTCCCCCTGACACCTGGTCTCAGGACCCTGGTCTGCCCACAGCCCACAGGGACACGGAGATGCAGGCACATTCGGGAACTCCTCATGGGGGTCCCTCCAGGCTTGAAGCAGACAGAGGACCCAGAAGGATGGAAACTGACATTTACCTGTTGTTGTGGGACGAGCAGTTGTGGTCGAAGTCAGCCACGAGCCTGGAGGAGACACGTCAAGGCCTTGCTTAGGCATCACCTGAGGAGTCCTCCACCTCCTCTGTCAGCCTCCCTGACAGGGCCACACGCCCCTCCCGGCACCTGCCCCTGAGGTGCACAGGTCTCCTGCTCGGCGAGGCCATCGGGGGGGAGGCCGTGAGGGCTCGGTCTGTCGCCCACCGTACCCACTCGGCAGGCCTGCTCCAGCAGAGACCTCGACCCCTGCCGCCCTAGAACCTAGGGCTCCCGGCTGGGTTTCAGCTCTGCCCCTGACACTGCATCTGCACAGAAGGCCCCCGGGGAGTTGTGATTAACTTGATCAATTCCAGGTCCTGGTTCCCAAGAAGCAGTATCACGGGAAACTAGCAACCTCCAGGTAAGGGAGCTGAGGACTCACCTGGCCAGGATGTGGAATGCGTCACAGCAGCTGTGAGGGAGGAAAACACAGTCAGTCACAAAGCACCCGACTTCCAAAACCAGGTCCCAGGTGGAGGATCTCCGCGGACACACAGTCCCCGGATGACACGGCCCATCATGCCCGAACCTCAGAGCCCCTCACACCACCACCCCTGCCCCTGGACACGGCCAGCCTCGCTGAGTCCGAGGACTCATTCCTGGAGTAAGAAGCCATGTCCGGCCTGGGACCGGCCCCCACAGCTGGGTGATGGGTCCAGAGAATGAGCAGAGCCTGGACCTCCCCACGGGGCTGAAGGTCACACCAGTGTTTCTCCCTCAGGGCTAGGATGTTATTCTTTATCCCAATTTCTAGACGTCCCCGTGTCCTCATGATGCCCCATCTGATACCTTCCTGGCCCCTTCCATTCACTGGGTCCTGCCTCCTCTCCCCATTCTCTCCACACGCCCAAGAGGCTGATCATCATCCCAGACAGAGGCGCAGAGACGTCCTGTCCTGCCTGCTGCAAGGATCTCCAGGGAGGGGAAGCCCGAGAGTGCCGGTGGAGGGGAGCGGAGACACCCGCATCCTCACGGGGACACCCAGGGTGCAGCTCCATGGCTCCTGGGTCAGGCCAAGACCCTCCCTTTTGGCAAAGTATCGGCCTCTGCGTGGTCCTGGCCGACCTCAGGCACAGTCTCAGAGGTGACAAGGCCCCGCCTGAAGCAGGGAACAGTCACGATCACCCCTCTTCCAGGGACAGCACCTCAAGTCCAGGATCCCCCGGCTCACTGGGGGAGGATGCGGACCTGGAGCAAATGTCTCCTGGTGGGCTTTGAGCTCTGTCCCTGACTCTGATTCTGGACAGAAGGACTCTGGGGGGTTGTGATTAAACTGCTCGGGCACCACTGGACCCGGGTCACCAGCCTTCCATGTCCCCTGACACCTGGTCTCAGGACCCTGGTCTGCCCAGAGACCACACGGACACGGAGATGCAGGCACATTCGGGAACTCCTCATGGGGTCCCTCCAGGCTTGAAGCAGACAGAGGACCCAGGAGAACGGAGACTGACATTTACCTGTTGTTCTGGGACCTGCAGTGGTGGTCGGAGTCTGCCATGAGCCTGGAGGAGACACGTCAAGGCCTTGCTTAGGCGTCACCTGAGGAGTCCTCCACCTCCTCTGTCAGCCTCCCTGACAGGGCCACACGCCCCTCCCGGCACCTGCCCCTGAGGTGCACAGGTCTCCTGCTCGGCGAGGCCATCGGGGGGGGAGGCCGTAGGGATCAGCCTGTCGCCCACCGTTCCCACTCGGCAGGTCTGCTCCAGCAGAGACCTTGACCCCTGCCGCCCTAGAACCAAGGGCTCCCGGCTGGGTTTGAGCTCTGCCCCTGACTCTGCATCTGCACAGAAGGGCTCTGGAGGTCGTGATTAAACTACCCGGGCACCACAGGACCCAGGTCACCAGCCAACCACGTCCCCCTGAGACCTGCTCTCAGGACCCTGGTCTGACCACAGCACACAGGTCCCAGAGATGGAGGCGTATCTGGGGACTCGCCTTGCGGTTCCTTCTTTCCCGGATTCAGAAGCAGACAGAGGGCCCGGGAGGACGGAGACTGACATTTACCTGTAGTTCTGGGATCTGCAGTGGTGGTCGGAGTCTGCCATGAGCCTGGAGGAGACACGTCAAGGCCTTGCTTAGGCGTCACCTGAGGAGTCCTCCACCTCCTCTGTCAGCCTCCCTGACAGGGCCACACGCCCCTCCCGGCACCTGCCCCTGAGGTGCACAGGTCTCCTGCTCGGCAAGGCCATCGGGGGGGAGGCCGTGAGGGCTCAGCCTGTCGCCTACCGTTCCCTCTCGGCAGGTCGGCTCCATGAGCGTCCTTGACCCCTGCCGCCCTAGAACCAAGGGCTCCCGGCTGGGTTTGAGCTCAGCCCCTGACTCTGCATCTGCACAGAAGTCCCCCGGGGGTGGGTGAGAGATAACAGAACTGGAGCCAATCACAGGTCCTGCTACCCAGAGGACCACATTCACACGGGACTCGGCCTCCCGTGAACATGCCTCTCCCGCTGCGGGAGGCCGATGTTCCGAGTGCATCCCGGGGTGTGGCCAGGGCTGTCAGCTGGAGGGAGGCCACAAGTCTGATGTCCCATCCGCAGAAAGCCCCTGGGGACAGTATTCATTATTCCCCAAAACGTCCCGGCCTGAATCTAACAGGTCCTGTTCACGGGCGCAGAGGCTGCCTGTCCGTCCAGGGCAGCTCCATCTGGGGCCGACCAGCCTGTGCTGCTGAGAACTGAGATGGACGATGGACACACGGGGGCTTGTGAATCCCCCCTCCAGGGGTGAAGGACTACTGGCCGTTCTCAGTGACAGAGGCAAAACTCCTGTGCCCCTTGGGGTTCAGAGAACACTGGGTCACCTAGAGTGCGGGGGGCATGGCTGACCAGGGAGAGAAGGGACCTCCAGGTCAGGAGCTGGGGACTCACCTGGCGAGGCTGTGGAATGCGGGACAGCAGCTGTGAGGAAGGAAAGTACAGTCAGTCACAAAGCACCCGGCTTCCAGAGCCAGGTCCCAGGTGGAGGACCCCCGGCTGACACACAGTCTCCGGTGGACACGGCCGGTCATGCCTGAACCTCACAGTCCCTCACACCAACACCCCTGTCCCTGGCCAGCGCCAGCTCGCAGAGTCTGAGGTCTCATTCCTGTGTAGGAAGCCAGTGTCATGCCTGGGAGTGGCCACCACAGCTGGGTGATGGGCACCCCCACGGGGCTGATGACCACACCAGTGTTTCTCCCTCAGGGGCTAGGATGTCACATGTATCCCAATGTCTAATGTTCCCCATGTGCTCATGGTGCCCCGTCCGACATCCTCCTGGCTCCTCCCATTCACGGGGCCCGGACCCCTACCCCACCCTCTTCCCCCCACACTTTCTGTACTTGGTCCATGAACTAGCTCCGGGTCCTGGGTTCGGGGCAGCATCTGGGAGAGCCCAGGTAACGCCATCTTCCAGAGGGGAGGTCTCACCACCCCACCCCCCACCCAGGAGGCTGCCTGCAGGGACGCCCAGACGCCCTCCCTGGCGGAGCTGAGGTCACACTGGGCACAGGTCAGGCTCCTGCTCTGTCCTCGGGGAGCCGGCTCCTGAGTGGGAATCAGGGCCACAGGCACGGTCAGGCCCAGGGCAGGCGACACCTGCAGGCTGCCGGGGATACGCACGAACAGGAGGCTGTTTCAGCCTGAGTCCCTGCCACTGGCTTTGGGGCCTCGCGTCCCCGCAGTCCCTCCACGGCCTTCAGTGCATTCAGGTCAGACAGGGGCGTTCAGGGCGCTGTGTGGGTTCTCAGCACCACCACCCAGCAGAGGGAGACACCCAGGCCGGCCCACCTGAGCAGATGACGCCGGCGTCCTCGCCGTGGCCACAGTTGTGCACGTTCCAGCCGTTGTGCGGGCAGTGCCACAGGAAGGACTCGTGGCCTGAGCAGCCCACATTGTCCAGGAGAATCGGCCCTGAGCCCTGGCCGAAGCGGGCGCTTCCTGGAGCCGCCCTGGCCCAGCCGCAGCCCAGCTGCCTGCACACCACGTTGGCGTCGTTGGTGTCCCAGCTGTCGTCACACACGGTGCCCCAGGAGCCTCGGTACAGGACTTCCACCCGGCCCTGACACCGGTCCCCTCCGTTCACCAGCCGCAGGTCCAACCTCGATTCGGTGGTGAACCCTGGAGGACGGCAGGACACAGGCAGGTTCTAGACTCAAGACCTTTCTCTTGGCCGAACCCAGGGCAGGCGGTCAGCTCTGAACATGAGGAGGAGACTGACATTTACCTGTTGTTGTGGGACCTGCAGTGGTGGTCGAAGTCAGCCAAGAGCCTGGAGGAGACACGTCAAGGCCTTGCTTAGGCGTCACCTGAGAGTCCTCCACCTCCTCTGTCAGCCTCCCTGACAGGGCCACACGCCCCTCCCGGCACCTGCCCCTGAGGTGCACAGGTCTCCTGCTCGGCGAGGCCATCGGGGGGGAGGCCGTGAGGGCTCAGCCTGTCGCCCACCGTTCCCACTCGGCAAGTCTGCTCCATGAGTGTCCTTGACCCCCTGCCAGCCTAGAACTTAGGGCTCCCGGCTGGGTTTGAGCTCTGCCCCTGACTCTGCATCTGCACAGAAGTCCCCCGGGGGTGGGTGAGAGATAACAGAACTGGAGCCAATCACAGGTCCTGCTACCCAGAGGACCACATTCACACGGGACTCGGCCTCCCGTGAACATGTCTCTCCCGCTGTGGGAGGCCGATGTTCCGAGTGCATCCCGGGGTGTGGCCAGGGCTGTCAGATGGAGGGAAGCCACAAGTCGGATGTCCCATCCGCAGAAAGCCCCTGGGGACAGTATTCATTATTCCCCAAAACGTCCCGGCCTGAATCTAACAGGTCCTGTTCACGGGCGCAGAGGCTGCCTGTCCGTCCAGGGCAGCTCCATCTGGGGCCGACCAGCCTGTGCTGCTGAGAACTGAGATGGACGATGGACACACGGGGGCTTGACAATCACCCCACCCCTTGGTGAAGGACAACTGGTCAGTGTCTCAGTGACAGAGGGCAATATTCTGTGCCACTTGGAGGTTCAGAGAACACTGGGTCACCTAGAGTGCGGGGGGCATGGCTGACCAGGGAGAGAAGGGACCTCCAGGTCACGAGCTGGGGACTCACCTGGCCAGGCTGTGGAATGCGGGACAGCAGCTGTGAGGAAGGAAAGTATAGTCAGTCACAAAGCACCCGGCTTCCAGAGCCAGGTCCCAGGTGGAGGACCCTCGGCTGACACACGGTCTCCGGTGGACACGGCCGGTCATGCCTGAACCTCACAGTCCCTCACACCAACACCCCTGTCCCTGGCCAGCGCCAGCTCGCAGAGTCTGAGGTATCATTCCTGTGTAGGAAGCCAGTGTCATGCCTGGGAGTGGCCACCACAGCTGGGTGATGGGTCCAGACAATGGGCACCCCCACGGGGCTGATGACCACACCAGTGTTTCTCCCTCAGGGGCTAGGATGTCACCTGTATCCCAATGTCTAATGTTCCCCATGTGCTCATGGTGCCCCGTCCGACATCCTCCTGGCTCCTCCCATTCACGGGGCCCGGACCCCTACCCCACCCTCTTCCCCCCACACTTTCTGTACTTGGTCCATGAACTAGCTCTGGGTTCTGGGTTCGGGGCAGCATCTGGGAGAGCCCAGGTAACGCCATCGTCCAGATTGGAGGTCTCACCACCGCACCCCCCACCCAGGAGGCTGCCTGCAGGGACGCCCAGACGCCCTCTTTGGCGGAGCTGAGGTCACACTGGGCACAGGTCAGGCTCCTGCTCTGTCCTCGGGGAGCCGGCTCCTGAGTGGGAATCAGGGCCACAGGCACGGTCAGGCCCAGGGCAGGCGACACCTTCAGGCTGCCGGGGATACGCACGAAGCAGGAGGCTGTTTCAGCCTGAGTCCCTGCCACTGGCTTTGGGGCCTCGCGTCCCCGCAGTCCCTCCACGGCCTTCAGTGCATTCAGGTCAGACAGGGGCGTTCAGGGCGCTGTGTGGGTTCTCAGCACCACCACCCAACAGAGGGAGCCACCCAGGCCGGCCCACCTGAGCAGATGACGCCGGCGTCCTCGCCGTGGCCACAGTTGTGCACGTTCCAGCCGTTGTGCGGGCAGTGCCACAGGAAGGACTCGTGGCCTGAGCAGCCCACGTCGTCCAGGAGAATCGGCCCTGAGCCCTGGCCGAAGCGGGCGCTTCCTGGAGCCGCCCTGGCCCAGCCACAGCCCAGCTGCCTGCACACCACGTTGGCGTCGTTGGTGTCCCAGCTGTCGTCACACACGGTGCCCCAGGAGCCTCGGTACAGGACTTCCACCCGGCCCTGACACCGGTCCCCTCCGTTCACCAGCCGCAGGTCCAACCTCGATTCGGTGGTGAACCCTGGAGGACGGCAGGACACAGGCAGGTTCTAGACTCAAGACCTTTCTCTTGGCCGAACCCAGGGCAGGCGGTCAGCTGTGAACAGGAGGATGGAGACTGACATTTACCTGTTGTTGTGGGACCTGCAGTGGTGGTCGAAGGCAGCCAAGAGCCTGGAGGAGACACGTCAAGGCCTTGCTTAGGCGTCACCTGAGAGTCCTCCACCTCCTCTGTCAGCCTCCCTGACAGGGCCACACGCCCCTCCCGGCACCTGCCCCTGAGGTGCACAGGTCTCCTGCTCGGCGAGGCCATCGGGGGGGAGGCCGTGAGCGCTCAGCCTGTCGCCCACCGTTCCCACTCGGCAGGTCTGCTCCAGCAGAGACCTTGACCCCCTGCCGCCAGGAGCCCTGTGCTGACTGGGCTTTGAGCTCTGTCCCTGACTCTGCATCTGGACAAAAGGCCCCTGGGGGGTTGTGATTAACTTGATCAATTCCAGGTCTCGGTTCCCAAGGAGCAGTATCACGGGAGACTAGCAACCTCCAAGTAAGGGAGCTGAGGACTCACCTGGCCAGGATGTGGGATATGTCACCGCAGCTGTGAGGGAGGAAAACATAGTCAGTCACAAAGCACCCGACTTCCAAAACGAGGTCCCAGGTGGATGATCTCCGCAGACACACAGTCCCCGGGATGTCACGGCCCATCATGCCCGAACCTCAGAGCCCCTCACACCACCACCCCTGCCCCTGGACACGGCCAACCTCGCTGAGTCCGAGGACGCATTCCTGGTGTAAGAAGCCTTGTGCGGCCTGGGACCGGCCCCCACAGCTGGGTGATGAGTGCAGAGAATGAGCAGAGCATGGACCTCCCCACGACGCTGAAGGTCACACCAGTGTTTCTCCCTCAGGGGCTAGGATGTTAGACTTTATCCCAATTTCTGGACGTCCCCGTGTCCTCATGATGCCCCATATGACACCTTCCTGGCCCCTTCCATTCACTGGGTCCTGCCTCCTCTCCCCATTCTCTCCACACGCCCAAGAGGCTGATCATCATCCCAGACAGAGGCGCAGAGATGTCCTGTCCTGCCTGCTGCAAGGATCTCCAGGGAGGGGAAGCCCCCAGAGTGCCGGTGGAGGGGAGCGGAGACACCCGCATCCTCACGGGGACACCCAGGGTGCAGCTCCATGGCTCCACGGTCAGGCCAAGACCCTCCCTTTTGGCAAAGTATCGGCCTCTGCGTGGTCCTGGCCGACCTCAGGCACAGTCTCAGAGGTGACAAGGCCTCGCCTGAAGCAGGGAACAGGCACGATCACCCCTCTTCCAGGGACAGCACCTCGAGCTCCAGGATCCCCCGGCTTAATGGGGGAAGATGCGGACCTGGAGCAAATGTCTCCTGGTGGGCTTTGAGCTTTGTCCCTGACTCTGATCTGGACAGAAGTACTCCGGGGGGTTGTGATTAAGCTGCTCGGGCACCACTGGACCCAGGTCACCAGCCTTCCATGTCCCCCTGACACCTGGTCTCAGGACCCTGGTCTGCCCACAGCCCACAGGGACACGGAGATGCAGGCACATTCGGGAACTCCTCATGGGGGTCCCTCCAGGCTTGAAGCAGACAGAGGACCCAGGAGGACGGAGACTGACATTTACCTGTTGTACTGGGACCTGCAGTGGTGGTCGGAGTCTGCCATGAGCCTGGAGGAGACACGTCAAGGCCTTGCTTAGGCGTCACCTGGGAGTCCTCCACCTCCTCTGTCAGCCTCCCAGAGAGGGCCACACGCCCCTCCCGGCACCTGCCCCTGAGGTGCACAGGTCTCCTGCTCGGCGAGGCCATCGGGGGGGAGGCCGTAGGGCTCAGCCTGTCGCCCACCGTTCCCACTCGGCAGGTCTGCTCCAGCAGAGACCTTGACCCCTGCCGCCCTAGAACCAAGGGCTCCCGGCTGGGTTTGAGCTCTGCCCCTGACTCTGCATCTGCACAGAAGGCCTCTGGAGGTCGAGATTAAACTACCCGGGCACCACAGGACCCAGGTCACCAGCCAACCACGTCCCCCTGACACCTGATCTCAGGACCCTGGTCTGCCCACTGCCCACAGGTCCCAGCGATGGAGGCGTATCTGGGGACTCGCCTTGTGGGTCCCTCTTTCCCGGATTCAGAAGCAGACAGAGGGCCCGGGAGGATGGAGACTGACATTTACCTGTTGTACTGGGACCTGCAGTGGTGGTCGGAGTCAGCCATGTGCCTGGAGGAGACACGTCAAGGCCTTGCTTAGGCGTCACCTGAGAGTCCTCCACCTCCTCTGTCAGCCTCCCTGACAGGGCCACACGCCCCTCCCGGCACCTGCCCTGAGGTGCACAGGTCTCCTGCTCGGCAAGGTTATCGGTGGGGAGGCCGGGAGGGCTCAGCCTGTCGCCCACCGTTCCCACTCGGCAGGTCTGCTCCAGCAGAGACCTTGACCACCTGCCACCAGGAGCCCTGTGCTGACTGGGGTTTGAGCTCTGTCCCTGACTCTGAACTGGACAGAAGGCCCCCGGGGGGTTGTGATTAACTTGATCAATTCCAGGTCCCGGTTCCCAAGAAGCAGTATCACGGGAGACTAGCAACCTCCAGGTAGGGGAGCTGAGGACTCACCTGGCCAGGATGTGTAATGCGTCACCGCAGCTGTGAGGGAGGAAAACACAGTCAGTCACAAAGCACCGGACTTCCAAAACAAGGTCCCAGGTGGAGGATCTCCGCAGACACACAGTCCCCGGGATGTCACGGCCCATCATGCCCGAACCTCAGAGCCCCTCACACCACCACCCCTGCCCCTGGACACGGCCAGCCTCGCTGAGTCCGAGGACTCATTCCTGGTGTAAGAAGCCATGTCCGGCCTGGGACCGGCCCCCACAGCTGGGTGATGGGTCCAGAGAATGAGCAGAGCATGGACCTCTCCACGGGGCTGAAGGTCACACCAGTGTTTCTCCCTCAGGGGCTAGGATGTTAGACTTTATCCCAATTTCTGGACGTCCCCGTGTCCTCATGATGCCCCATCTGACACCTTCCTGGCCCCTTCCATTCACTGGGTCCTGCCTCCTCTCCCCATTCTCTCCACACGCCCAAGAGGCTGATCATCATCCCAGACAGAGGCGCAGAGATGTCCTGTCCTGCCTGCTGCAAGGATCTCCAGGGAGGGGAAGCCCCCAGAGTGCCGGTGGAGGGGAGCGGAGACACCCGCATCCTCACGGGGACACCCAGGGTGCAGCTCCATGGCTCCACGGTCAGGCCAAGACCCTCCCTTTTGGCAAAGTATCGGCCTCTGCGTGGTCCTGGCCGACCTCAGGCACAGTCCTCAGAGGTGACAAGGCCTCGCCTGAAGCAGGGAACAGGCACGATCACCCCTCTTCCAGGGACAGCACCTCGAGCTCCAGGATCCCCCGGCTCAATGGGGGAGGATGCGGACCTGGAGCAAATGTCTCCTGGTGGGCTTTGAGCTTTGTCCCTGACTCTGATCTGGACAGAAGAACTCCGGGGGGTTGTGATTAAGCTGCTCGGGCACCACTGGACCCAGGTCACCAGCCTTCCATGTCCCCCTGACACCTGGTCTCAGGACCCTGGTCTGCCCACAGCCCACAGGGACACGGAGATGCAGGCACATTCGGGAACTCCTCATGGGGGTCCCTCCAGGCTTGAAGCAGACAGAGGACCCAGGAGGACGGAGACTGACATTTACCTGTTGTACTGGGACCTGCAGTGGTGGTCGGAGTCTGCCATGAGCCTGGAGGAGACACGTCAAGGCCTTGCTTAGGCGTCACCTGGGAGTCCTCCACCTCCTCTGTCAGCCTCCCAGACAGGGTCACACGCCCCTCCCGGCACCTGCCCCTGAGGTGCACAGGTCTCCTGCTCGGCGAGGCCATCGGGGGGGAGGCCGTAGGGCTCAGCCTGTCGCCCACCGTTCCCACTCGGCAGGTCTGCTCCATGAGAGACCTTGACCCCTGCCGCCCTAGAACCAAGGGCTCCCGGCTGGGTTTGAGCTCTGCCCCTGACTCTGCATCTGCACAGAAGGCCTCTGGAGGTCGTGATTAAACTACCCGGGCACCACAGGACCCAGGTCACCAGCCAACCACGTCCCCCTGACACCTGATCTCAGGACCCTGGTCTGCCCACTGCCCACAGGTCCCAGCGATGGAGGCGTATCTGGGGACTCGCCTTGCGGGTCCCTCTTTCCCGGATTCAGAAGCAGACAGAGGGCCCGGGAGGATGGAGACTGACATTTACCTGTTGTACTGGGACCTGCAGTGGTGGTCGGAGTCTGCCATGTGCCTGGAGGAGACACGTCAAGGCCTTGCTTAGGCGTCACCTGAGAGTCCTCCACCTCCTCTGTCAGCCTCCCTGACAGGGCCACACGCCCCTCCCGGCACCTGCCCTGAGGTGCACAGGTCTCCTGCTCGGCGAGGCTATCGGTGGGGAGGCCGGGAGGGCTCAGCCTGTCGCCCACCGTTCCCACTCGGCAGGTCTGCTCCAGCAGAGACCTTGACCACCTGCCACCAGGAGCCGTGTGCTGACTGGGGTTTGAGCTCTGTCCCTGACTCTGAACTGGACAGAAGGCCCCCGGGGGGTTGTGATTAACTTGATCAATTCCAGGTCCCGGTTCTTAAGAAGCAGTATCACGGGAGACTAGCAACCTCCAGGTAGGGGAGCTGAGGACTCACCTGGCCAGGATGTGGAATGCGTCACCGCAGCTGTGAGGGAGGAAAACACAGTCAGTCACAAAGCACCCGACTTCCAAAACAAGGTCCCAGGTGGAGGATCTCCGCAGACACACAGTCCCCGGGATGTCACGGCCCATCATGCCCGAACCTCAGAGCCCCTCACACCACCACCCCTGCCCCTGGACACGGCCAGCCTCACTGAGTCCGAGGACTCATTCCTGGTGTAAGAAGCCATGTTCGGCCTGGGACCGGCCCCCACAGCTGGGTGATGGGTCCAGAGAATGAGCAGAGCATGGACCTCTCCACGGGGCTGAAGGTCACACCAGTGTTTCTCCCTCAGGGGCTAGGATGTTAGACTTTATCCCAATTTCTAGACGTCCCCGTGTCCTCATGATGCCCCATCTGACACCTTCCTGGCCCCTTCCATTCACTGGGTCCTGCCTCCTCTCCCCATTCTCTCCACACGCCCAAGAGGCTGATCATCATCCCAGACAGAGGCGCAGAGATGTCCTGTCCTGCCTGCTGCAAGGATCTCCAGGGAGGGGAAGCCCCAGAGTGCCGGTGGAGGGGAGCGGAGACACCCGCATCCTCACGGGGACACCCAGGGTGCAGCTCCATGGCTCCACGGTCAGGCCAAGACCCTCCCTTTTGGCAAAGTATCGGCCTCTGCGTGGTCCTGGCCGACCTCAGGCACAGTCTCAGAGGTGACAAGGCCTCGCCTGAAGCAGGGAACAGGCACGATCACCCCTCTTCCAGGGACAGCACCTCGAGCTCCAGGATCCCCCGGCTCAATGGGGGAGGATGCGGACCTGGAGCACATGTCTCCTGGGGGCTTTGAGCTTTGTCCCTGACTCTGATCTGGACAGAAGAACTCCGGGGGGTTGTGATTAAGCTGCTCGGGCACCACTGGACCCAGGTCACCAGCCTTCCATGTCCCCCTGACACCTGGTCTCAGGACCCTGGTCTGCCCACAGCCCACAGGGACACGGAGATGCAGGCACATTCGGGAACTCCTCATGGGGGTCCCTCCAGGCTTGAAGCAGACAGAGGACCCAGGAGGACGGAGACTGACATTTACCTGTTGTACTGGGACCTGCAGTGGTGGTCGGAGTCTGCCATGAGCCTGGAGGAGACACGTCAAGGCCTTGCTTAGGCGTCACCTGAGGAGTCCTCCACCTCCTCTGTCAGCCTCCCAGACAGGGTCACACGCCCCTCCCGGCACCTGCCCCTGAGGTGCACAGGTCTCCTGCTCGGCGAGGCCATCGGGGGGGAGGCCGTAGGGCTCAGCCTGTCGCCCACCGTTCCCACTCGGCAGGTCTGCTCCATGAGAGACCTTGACCCCTGCCACCCTAGAACCAAGGGCTCCCGGCTGGGTTTGAGCTCTGCCCCTGACTCTGCATCTGCACAGAAGGCCTCTGGAGGTCGTGATTAAACTACCCGGGCACCACAGGACCCAGGTCACCAGCCAACCACGTCCCCCTGACACCTGATCTCAGGACCCTGGTCTGCCCACTGCCCACAGGTCCCAGCGATGGAGGCGTATCTGGGGACTCGCCTTGCGGGTCCCTCTTTCCCGGATTCAGAAGCAGACAGAGGGCCCGGGAGGATGGAGACTGACATTTACCTGTTGTACTGGGACCTGCAGTGGTGGTCGGAGTCAGCCATGTGCCTGGAGGAGACACGTCAAGGCCTTGCTTAGGCGTCACCTGAGAGTCCTCCACCTCCTCTGTCAGCCTCCCTGACAGGGCCACACGCCCCTCCCGGCACCTGCCCTGAGGTGCACAGGTCTCCTGCTCGGCGAGGCTATCGGTGGGGAGGCCGGGAAGGCTCAGCCTGTGGCCCACCGTTCCCACTCGGCAGGTCTGCTCCAGCAGACACCTTGACCACCTGCCACCAGGAGCCCTGTGCTGACTGGGGTTTGAGCTCTGTCCCTGACTCTGAACTGGACAGAAGGCCCCCGGGGGGTTGTGATTAACTTGATCAATTCCAGGTCCCGGTTCTTAAGAAGCAGTATCACGGGAGACTAGCAACCTCCAGGTAGGGGAGCTGAGGACTCACCTGGCCAGGATGTGGAATGCGTCACCGCAGCTGTGAGGGAGGAAAACACAGTCAGTCACAAAGCACC